GTCCGAAAACAGACACCGCCGGCCTTCTACATTTCAGGTTGGGGATAGAGTCTGGGTTAAGTCTTCAGAACTGGGACAGGAGTACGAGATATCCCGCAAACTCATGCCTCAGTACTTTGGACCTTGGGAAGTCACATTGTTGGGACAGATCCGGATGGTCCATCATACGTTATCCGGATTCCTGACGTTATCCGGATTCCTGGTCATCTCCGTACTTACCCTGTCTTTCACGCCTCCAAGCTGGCACCTTTCAAAGAGACTGACCAGTTTCCATCTCGTCGCTCAATGCTGCCCCCAACCATGGACGGAGAGGTGGACATCGATGATATTGTGGATCACAGAGAGCTGCCGGTATCCAGACCAGCAGGCAGGGGACGTCCTCCAAAACCGAAGCTGCAGTACCGCGTTCGGTTCTGACATCACACTGATCCAAAGGAGGACCGCTGGTTCACCAGAGAAGAGCTCATGCAGACCGCTACTCAAGTTGTAACTCAATATGAGAGATCTCTGCAGAAGGGAAAGCGCCCTATGATCGAAGATTGAGCTTCTCAGAGGACTGTTGAAGCTAAGGAGGAGGGAATGCGAGGCCACTGCCTCTAAGAGCCCCATAAGGCCCCCATTTTGCAGCCCGTCGGCCGCCCTAAGTGAAGGCAGGCTCGACGAGGCCCTCAGGACCCTTTTCTGGCCACCACGCAACTCAGGGAAATTCAGGCAGTTGTGCAGCGCCAATTGGTTGAGTGAACCCAGGCCCTGGGCCGCCTGTGTGAATGTACGTGAAGCAGGCCCTGGGCTGGATACGGGTACAGGGTCAAACACAGGCCGAAAGCAGTTGGGCACATGCAACCACTTCAGGCCCAAGGCCTGCTCTCCTCGTGACTGGGCCTCAGGCTACCGGGGCCTACTGGAAGCTTCCTGGACTGGACGCAGGCAGGCCACTTTGATATAGGGAAGGGCCTGCCTCCTCATTCGGCATTCGGGTGCTGGCCGCATGCTGCGCTATTTGCTGGCTGGCGCCTACGCTCTCACGGGCGAGCAGGGAAGGAGCACGCAGCCATAGCCGAGCTGCGTTGCTGTATGCTGGGTGAAGCGCAGGGTGGTCCTTGGGTGCTAGTGGCATCTGTGAGTTGGGGAACGAGGTTGTGAGCGTAGCGCGAGACATACCTGGTGCTGAAGCGTGTGACATTGGTCGCCATATGCTCGTACTTCGGGAACGCTGTTGATGTCCTCTTTCGGCTTCGTAGTATAGGCTAGATAGGATCTGCCACATGTAGTCTGGGCGCCGAGCGCCAATAGGATATCAACTCTGGTTCTTCGTTGATGATGATGGGACTACTTCAGCATTGTCAATTATGAACTCTTGGTGTGTTCTTATTTGGTGTATCTCGTGATGCAATTCTGCTGTTGGTTCGAGGTCAAGACTATCTGGTCTCATATGTATGATGCTGTTTGATTGCTGGAGTTCGCTATTACTCATCTTCCTTGCACAGGTATGTGCCTTCACATCATCATCATCATCATCATCCTTCTCTCTCTCTCCCTCGTCTTCCCACGTCTTCCCGTTGTACACCCGAAGACCACCCCTGCGCCTCACTGTACATCCAAGCCCGCCAGCTATGGAGGCTGGCCATGGCGCTGCCCTCAGCAGCGCCCTGCTTCCTGCACGACCGCACGTGCTAGCACCTCGCCTGTCAGCGCTAGCAGCAGCCCACGAGCCTCAGCTCCAGCAGCGCTGCCGCCAGCATGCGAGTGCCCAAATTCCTGGCCAGGCAGCAAGCTCTTTCCTATATGGAAAGAGCTGGCCTGCCTTTGCAGCCTGGCTGGCCTGGGCCTGGGCCGAGAAGCTTCCGGTAGGCCCCAGGATGCTGCGCCTCTGGTGCAGCTACTGGGCCTCATTCGGTTGGGCCTCCCAACTGTCTGTGTATGAGGCTGCGAATCTCGTCCAGGGCCTGTGGTTTCGGAAGAGCCTGGAAGGCCGTGGAATTTCCTTGCTTCTTGGCCTGTGTTTTCCTCAACCAACTGGCGCGACGAAACTGCCTGGTCCCCAAATGCGAATTCGACAGCTTAGGGCCTCTCGGGATTTGTTAGGCCCGCCTTCACTTAGGGCAGGCACATTTGCAGCAGGGGCCCCTTAGGCCTGCCGAGGACCCAGATCCTCGCAGTAGCAAGTGGGAATATGTGAATAGCGGCGGACATATCTTCCTGCCTTCCTGCCTTCTGCTCAAAGATGCACTCTCCGTTTTCTTATTAGTGTGGCGAGGCCCTAAAGCACATGCAAGGATGACAGTCACGAATTGAAAAATGTACCAATTTGTGCAGGCCATCATTGTGCAAAGGTGTGTACAAATGCTCACACGGCTAGGCTACCAGCTGGGCCGCCCGGGTCCTGGGTGGCCAGCCCGTGCAAGGACCAGGGAAGGCCCCAGCCAAAAAAAAAAAAAAAAAAAAAAAAAAAAAANAAAAAAAAAAAAAAAAACCAACGAAAAACAACTATGTTATGCAGAAAAATAAACTGAACAACTTTTGCCTCAGGGTCACATCGAAATTCTGCACCAAATTTAGAATAAAAAATATTTTATTATTATTATTATTATTTTTAATTGTTTTCGGCCCGGCCGGGCAAGTGACCCCGGGCCACTCTGGTAGCCTAGTCACACGCACTATTTCCCCATTCCCACCCTCATCCGTCACTGTCCCCCTCCCCTGTACGACATGCAGAAGGGGATTCCACACAACACCACGCACTGCACATGTGAGCCACAAGTATGGACAGCTCCAGAATTTGGACCTCTGCTGAATCTTGTGAAGATTTCCACTATCCTCCTGGGGAACTTGCAATTTCTCTCTTTGTCCTTTCTTTTTTCTGAAGTTTTGCTTGCTCTTTTTAATACTTGGACAATTTCTCAATTTCTGTGTCATCATTAAACAGGGGCATGCTAATCTTCTCTGTATCGTTCCCTCCTTTTATCTCTTTATTCAAAAGGGCGACGGTCTTGAGATATCATCATTAAACTGACCCGGGCCCAGGTAACTTAAAATTATTTTGTTTTGTTCATCTGATTGCATCTGGATTCGAACTTGGGTCTGATTCATATTTCAACAACAGTTCCTTGAGTGTACCAACTGAGCTAGGCCTGCTGGTACTATCGTTCCAACTTTGGTGGATGTCCCGTAGGACATTTCTCTCTCATTTCTTTCCTTCTCTCTCTTCCTATTTTTTGCTCTTTCTCTTTTCATTTTGTTGTTGCCAGTGCTATGGTGTCTCATTGAATTATTTGGTACACGCGGATATCTTGCAAGTATGCACAGACTAACCATGAGAGGGTTGCACTGAGTACTGACATTATTTCTACATCTCCCTTGTGGTGCAGGATGCTCACTTCATTGTCATCAACAAGCCACCTAGGTTAGCGGTGCAGGTATGTGAGTTTCGTTCTCCATTACCTTGTGGAGGTACATAGATGCCCCTTCATTGTTGGTGTTGCCTTACCGTAGACCTTCAATTGTCATCCACTTATGACAACCAGCCTTGATGCCCATTTATGGATCATGAACACCGGCGTCTCCGTTGTGTTCAGAATTCAAACCAGGGTCGACCCGGTGCCCGACCACTTCTGTATGGCCCGTTGTGGCCAGGTCAGGCCAGGCCAAGCCAGGCCAAGCCAGGTGGTCCAACCGGAAATCCACAACTTACAGTCTCGTCAAGGGGCAACTTGCTCCCCCTTTCTCCCTCCTCTCCGTTGCGTCCATCTCCCGTCCATCTCCTCTCTGCTCCTCATCCTGTTCTGAAATACGTCACCGCTTACACACACTTGTTGCTCTTCCATTTCTCCTTTGTTGCCCTGTTGCCATCCCATGTACTTGATCCTAGTCTTCCTTGATCCCCTTCCTCTTCTCCGCGCTATCTTTCTTTTCACTCTAGCACCCTCCCATCCCTTCTTTCCCTTCTGACGTGCCTTATTGTTCGATTGACGTCATCAGCTTGTGATCCATTCTACTCTCCTTTTATCCTCTTCTTCTCCCTTCTCCGTTCTGTCCCCGTCCTCTTTTCCAGCGGTTCTCCATCTCTCGTCCATTCTCCTCGTCCGCACGTCCCATTGTCTATCCGCCATGGACTTATCCATCAGCTTCACACAGGGACGATGCCCCTATCTCCATCCACCATGCACTTATCGAATCATCTCTTCCGTGCTCCTTCTGAAATGTCTATTCTTCGTCTCATCCATCGCCTCGAATTCAGATCCCTTTGCACCCTCTTTTGCAGTCGCCTTCAGCTCTGCTCTGTTGTCGCTATTCCCTTCTCCTACTTTCAATATTTCTCACCTGGTCTTCATTTTCCCCTTCACCTAATTAAATGAGGGTGAAGGGAAGCACACACAACAGTTGGACGAAAGCGATCTGCCAAAAGGGGGGCCGGCTGGGTACAATCATGAAGGCGGTGTGGTCCAATAGATCTTTCGCCCCTATACTATGAACTTCTCTCTCTATCTCTGTCTCTGCCGCTGGCTCTCGCTCTCTCGCTCTCTCGCTGTGTCTTCAGGAAGAAGAAGAAGAAGAAGAAGAAGAAGAAGAAGAAGAAGAAGAAGAAAAAAGAAGAAGACACGAGGGCGATGGCGACGACCTGGGAGCAGTATGACGGGCAACGCATCGAGAGGGCGACGCACAATGCAAATGGCAGCTAGTGCGGGGGCGAGCACAAAGCAGGCTGCAAAAAATTGAGGGCAGGCAGGCGATAGTGCACAGGATGGCAGGCAGGGTGGAAAGGGTGACAGTCTGAGGCCACGGGCGATCTCACGCGGGAGTTTGAATGAACTCCCACGGAGTCAATGGTACCAAAAGCGACTGATCTTGTCCAGCAATCTAGCAAGATTGGGAGCCCAGGTTGGCTGCCTTTGCTTTTTCAAGAAGAGAGGAATACTTGGGCGGTGGCCTCCAGGAGGTGGACGGAAGGCAACCCAGGCCATTTAGAGTCCGGTACCACTCTCAGCGAAATGTGCTGGGGCAGCCTGGGGTTGCACTGGCCTGGTGGACCGGCCTCCCAGGTGGAAGAGGGCCACCCGGATGCAGCGGGGACCGGCCTTGGTCCGAACGTGTGAGAGAGAAAAGCTCAATTGAAGAAGAAGAACAATAATAAGAAGAAGAAGAAGCACCTTCGTCTAGCCTCCGTGCCTCTTTTTCCTCTCATGGCAAGTCAAATTGACCCGGCGCAGGCGTGTTTTCTTTTCTTTTTGCTTGCTGCAACCAGCTATTGAGGTTCGGTAGCAATGTTCTTCCGAATTTTGCATTTGTATACAAATTGTCAGAAACCTTTGTCTGTGAAAGGCACTGGTGGTTTAAGGTAAACACAATTAGAAACCTTTGTCTGTGAAAGGCACTGGTGGTTTAAGGCAAACACAATTGAAGCTTATGCTTCCCTGGACCACAGCATGGGATTCCACGGACGACAATCAGACCTGCATGGCTGGGTACTCCGGACAAGAAAAAAGGATCGTTTCTTTTTTTTTTGTTGCTTTCAAGAGGGTGGTGGGGTATTGCTGCGAGCACCTAGATCTGCCCGAATCTGGACCATTTGTTTTGTTTTTGACATATGTGGATGAGAAGTGGAAGGTAGATGGCAGGAGGAGGTGGGAGTAAGGCAGGAGGCACAAGGGAGATGGGGCGCAAGAGGAGGGAGGAGGGGAGTGGCAGGAGGCAGAAGGAAGGTGGCGTGCAAGAAGAGGGAGGAAGGTGGTCGGAGAGAGGAGGTAATGGCGGGATGGAAGATGAGATGGCATGAGAGAGGAGGGGGAGGGAGATGGTGGGGGCAGGAGGGAGGAGTGAGGTGGTGCGCAAGCACAAGGAGCAAGATGGCATGCAAGAGGAGGAAGGTAGATCTGGGAGGTAGGATGGAGGAGGGAGATGGTGCTAGAGAGGATGAAGGTGGATGGTGGGAGGGAGGAGGGAGATGCCCTTCACTCTCACTCTCTCTCTCTGTGGAGCAAGAAGACGAAGAACGGGTAAAAAGAAGAGAAGAAGAAGAACTGAGGAGGAGGAGGCAATGACTGAGGAAAAAGAAGAAGGAAGAAGAAGAAGAAGAAGAATAGTGCACTCACCTTCTTCTTGGTGGAGATGGGGGAGTTCGATGCTGTGATGGCTGGAGGACAATGAGGCAAGTGTGGTGATGATGAAGATGGCTGCACGGTGGGTGAGCAAGATCGAAGGCCTGATGGATCTTTTTCTGGGGCAATTGAATGTGAATGCCCCAGGAAAGCAGTCCTGTGGTCTCCAAGTTTGCGTGCAAATCTCTGCCGTTGATCTCACATGACTTACGGTGGAGATTCGCCGAACTTTAAAAAATGAAACCGGGCACCAGTACATTCCGAAGGCGCCTGGTGCTGTGCAGGACCACCACAAAAGTTTCACACACACACACACTAGTGCAATCAGACTCGTTTTCAAACACACTTTTCACACATGTAAACAGTAACACAGCACACTGGCGACATGCGCCCACTCAAAACTCAGAGATATGGCTTCAGATACGAATTCACTCTCAAATGGCTATGGCGACTTCAGCGCCCAAACATCTCACTGTTCACATACACTGGATCACCCTGGATATCCCACACGCATCACTCTAACACTCGAACACAACACACACTCACTACTAACTACAGCTATGGCAGCTA